AAAAAAAAAAAAAAAGCAAAGAAGAAAGCCTTGATTTGGGTTAATTAGGGCAGGGACCGCGCTGGCATTCCTGCCTTAGAACGTGGATTACCCTTCAGTTTCCTCCCGTGTTCAATATTCTTCTTCACTTCCTCATATCTGTTCCAATTTGAATCCGGGCAGCCGGACTTTGAGGGTTGGCGCTTCATCTCCGAGACACTTCGGTGCGCTGCAGCTCCAGCTGCGGCAACCCCAGCCATCTCAATTAACCAGCCACCTCGCACTCCGACCCATTTCTCGTCCTTTCACTTCTCCTGATTTCGAATTGCTTCTGTTTTTCTTTCAATTACATTATATTGTGCATTGAGTATTGATTTGTACAGCTGTTGAGGCTGTAAATCGTCTGACTCTGAGCGATCGATAATTTTGCGATCGCGATCCTTGAGAGCTATCCGCTTCAATCAGTGACGCAACACTCACATTGTCGTCCAGTCCACGATTTCACCGACCATTCTTAGAGGTGCCTCGACACACCACGAGAGCGTTTGACGAAGCCCACGACTCTTACGACCCATCAACGTTAACGACTTTTGCGCGGCAACGCCAGCCGACTGTTGCACGACCTCCTTCTACTTCAGCCGATCACCAATTCAGACCCTCGAGCGCTTCTGGCTCTCAACGTCCCTTACGTCGTATCCCTCGCCAAACAGAGGTCCGCCAATCGCTCCACCATCGAGCGGGATCTTTACGCGCCCCGGTTCCACACCCTAATCGACCTCAGCCGGCGCGTACAACCCCGGTCTCTGTGCAACACGCCCCAGCCAGTGGCATCGCAGACCTACGTCCGGCCCTTTCCGAAGCGGAGACCAACGACAACGGGTCTACAATCGACGACCCGTACCAGCTCCTCAACACATCCTACTGGCCGCAAAGAACCACTGGAGTCTCGTCGCGCACCGCATCGGCAATCCTTTTCGCCCTCGAGGAAGCTATCCGTGGACCGCTGCAGCTCTCCACTGACTGGGACGAGGTAAATGCTTCTATGTCAGACATGGTAGGCGTCGCTGGCCCCGCTGGGCCTGTGGGCAATAGCCGAGTTCAAAATGGTGGAGCCCGTGTGCCCCAGAACCCCATCTCAGGGACATCACAGCCACCGAGTGGTATGAGGACACCTACGGATATAATGAGACAGCGCCGGGATCGGGAAGCTCGCCGCAAAGCGGAACACGAGGCCCGAGAGAGGGAACAGGAAGAATTGGAACGTCAACAACTGGAGCAAGAACAACAGGTTCAAGCCGAGGCGCAGGCCCAGAAACAGGCCCAAGCTCAACAGTACGCAGCTGGCGTTGCCGCCGAAAATACCTCCCAATCAAGAATTAGAGTTCCACGACCATCAAGGGGACCTGAAGGACAGCCCCAGACCGTGCCCGTCACTTCAGGGCCAACATCCGGTTACCGACCAGCAGCAGATGTTGCGCCGAGTACCCGACCACCAGAATACCAGACAGCACCACCAACTGCTACGACGGGGCAAATGGGTAACCAGTCACGGCCGGCACAAGCAACTGGGCAGCAGCCTCAGCATGGCCGCTCGCAGAGTGCGGCAGAAAATGGAACTCAGCCCAGACCCAGTGGGTTTTCCAAATCCGCCCAGGCCCTACCCGCAGGACAACCTGGTGCTCCCCAAGCTCTTCAGCAGCCGAAACGAGTTGGGTTTCCGCATGCATTTGAGCGATGGGAAACGCTGTCTTCACACTGGGAGGGGCTCACCAGCTATTGGATGCGCAAGCTCGAACAAAACAATGAGGATCTAGAGCGTGATCCGCTCAGCCAACAATTGGCTCGACAGATTACAGACTTGTCAGCCGCTGGTGCCAATCTATTCCACGCAGTGGTTGAACTGCAACGTCTGCGAGCCTCCTCCGAACGCAAGTTCCAGCGCTGGTTTTTCGACACCCGTGCTGAGCAGGAACGCTCAAAGGAAGTGCAGGCAGACCTCGACCGCCAGCTCAAGGAAGAACGACAAGGCCGAGCCGATGCCTTTTCCGCCGCCCAGGAAGCCGAGAAGGACAAAGTCAAGGCCGAAGAGCTGCTGAAGGAGATGCGCCGCGAACTCCAAATCTCCAAGGAGGAGGCACGCCGTGCCTGGGAGGAGCTTGGCCGTCGTGAACAAGAAGAGCGAGACCGAACCAACTCCCTGCGCAATGGAGAGCCCACGCTCGTTGGAGGCGTCCAGGTTGTGCCTATGATCTCTGGCCTCCCTAGCCGTCACAACAGCACTCGCCCACAGACCCGCGAGGGCACATACCCCGGCGGACAGCCAGCCACAACCATGGGCACCGACGCATATCACGGAAAGTCCGCGGGGAGCGCAGGCGGACAATACTACGAAGACGGCACACCGATGTCTCCAACAGGATCCGACCCTTTCATCGAACCCAAAAAGGTTGACCCACCTACCTCAAAAGCCCCTTACCCGGCTCCACTGTACGAACACGAAAACACAACTGTCCCATACCCAGGCCCCGCAACCTCAGAACCCGACGCGCGCTCCTACGTCGGCAGCAGCGAAGCGGGCGACGAAGAATATGCCCACTACTCCCACGACCCGCACGGCAACTCCTTAAGCTACCCACCTGGCCCTCCCTCAGAGGGAAGCGAGGAGTATGACCACTCCCTGCCAGAGGGTCATTACATGCCCGACGGCGCCTATACCTCCGCCGCCTCTTCCATCCCTCCGCCTGCGCCGGCCTCCGCCGCGGACTACTCTGGTGCCGGCTGGGGCCCTGGCACTGGGTGGGAGTCCGTGACACCACGTCATCGCCACCCCACGCGTCTGAGCGATGTTCTCGAGGAAGACGAGCCTAGTCGCACGAATCCGAGCCGGGCTACAAGTCGTAGCCAGGCCAGTCGGAGTATACTCTAAAACACGTTATCGACCTTGTCATGTATCCTATCTGGGATCAAGGTGTTTAGCGCTGGATTTGGTTTCTGAGCGCTTTGATGCATGCATAGAGAATTCTGAAGAGGTGTTCTCGTATTCATATCGAGTTTATTACTTCTATTTTGATTTCAAAGCAGTCTTATTGTTATTGGCTTGTTTCTCTGTATGTGCTTTGCCTGTCTTTTCCTTGCCTGTTTCTGTAAGGTTGGCGTTTAATTCCCCCTATCCCAATATTGTTTTGTTTCTTGTTTCTTTTGTTTCCTGTGTGAAGTTTTGTTTTTTAAACGATGAGAATACTTAATTGCCTATTTGCTTTTCTACGTAGTACTACATCAATGTTATCTTTCTACGTCAATTTAAAGAGACGTTGTCCTACGGAGATAGAGCAGAGATATTTCAAATGACTTCATCAGATACTTCAATTGAGTAAACTGTCTCTGTCTTCCCCTGCCAATCCCAAAACTGGTCAACCACCCCCAGTCTGACCAATAGCCAGACCAAGGATGATGACCAGCATGGGGATGACTTAGGCTGATCGCCCTCCATTCCTCAGTTCCCCCTTCCATCTTAGAGCCTCGAACTCTCTCATTTTGAGAGGCGCTTCTTGCCCTGGGCCTTGGCGGAGGGTTCAGGTACACCACCGGCCTTCTTCTCCACGTCCTTCGTATCCTTCGTCGCCTTCTTCTGTTCCCCCCTCTGTAGCCGCATCCGCTCGTAAGAACCACGAGCCTTCTCAGCCCAGGCCTTCAGACACTCAGGCCCACGCAGACACCAGATCAAAAGCTCTCTGGTTGCCAGGGCATCCTCGAGTGAATTGTGTCCCAACCCAACTTGGATATCAATACCAAGCAGCTCCTTTGCAAGGGTCTTCAACCCCCAAACCCGCGCAAGCGTAGTTTTGGCCGAAAAATTTGGAAATACTGCTTCAGCAGTAACAATAGAGGTATCCACGATCCGTCCATGCAACAAGTTCAGAGCACGCAGGTCATGCTGGAGTGCATGACCAATAAGAACCGTGTCTTCGTCGAGGAACTTCTTCAGCGCTTGACGAGCAGCATCGTTTGATAGGAAGGCCTTGCCATCCGTAATCGCGACGTCCATTGCTTCAGGTGTAATGCCGCTGACCGGAGTCAGCCAGTTTGTGACAGGGGCCGTTGGCGCGACATAGCTGTTGATGAGGACCTCACCGGTCAAAAAGTCGATGGCCGTTATGAAGCCAAGCACGCTGGTGCAGACTGTAGTTTCAATCATTTCGCAGTCTACCACGATGGCTTTCCGGTGCGTGGAGCCGCGAGTGTAGGTGTGGGCTTGGTGTGGTTCGCCGCGGTTCGTACAGGCTGTAGTGCCGATGGTCTTCGGAGTCTTGTACCCTTGGCAATTGAGACGGGATAGTGGGTGGCACCTTCCCAGGAGGTATTTGAGGATTAAGCTTTGCTCCAGTGGTTCAAGGTCAGTCCATCGGATTTTCATTTCATCGTAGACCAGTGAGAAGGTCGGGTTGGTGGTTGTCGGTGGGATGAAAAGTGATGGCGTTGTGGTGCCCGTTGCTGGTGTTGCAGGTGTTCCTGGTGCCCGTCTATCCGTGTCGTTTCCCTCAGCTGCTGTGCTATCTTGTGTGGATAGATGTATTGGGGATTGCGAAACTTGCTTCACTTGCTTCGCTTGTTCAGATGACTGCACTGGGGGCTGAGAGATTCTGAGGGGCTGAGTGCCCTGCAGTGGGGGCGTAGAGACTTGCTCGGCTCGTTGGGATCTCTGCACTGGAGACGGGGAGACAAGGGCTGGGGGCCGATAGATCCGCAACTGGTTGTTAAATCCCCCAACGGGTGATTGGGGTATCTGACAGGGTGTCTGAGGGATCTGAGCCGGTCTCTGATAGGGCTGACAGCCCGCTGGATACACCCCTGCTTGGTGCACGTTCCCGGGAACTTCGATGATGGGAATTGGGTGTTGAAAGATCGGGTAGGGGGCTTGATAGAGCCCCATCGGAATTTTGGGGACACCCACTTGCTGCTGAGACACTGGACTGCCTGGTTGAATGACTGCAACGGCTGGATGAAAGCCTTGAGCAGGTGAGTCGTAAGCTCGAGAGCCTGCTGGATAGACTTGTTTTGGCGCCTGAGGAGCCTGCACTGGTGGTGGAGAGACTGCATTGCGTGGCTGTGGGCCTTGGTATTGCGGTTGGGAGACTTGGTGTCGTGGCCGAGAGGGTTTGTTTTGTCGCTCGAAGTCTTGACCGCGTGGTCGTGGTCGAAAGATAGCCGCTCCTGCTGGATGGACTTGCGTGGGCGACTGAGGGGCTTGCATGGTTGTCTGAGGGACCTGCATGTCTTGACGTGCCTGGGCAGTTGGTTGACGGGCCCCGCATGGTGGGGGAGGGAATTGCTCTGGCACCTGTATTGCATCTGCCGTTGCGGGTGAGGAAGCAGCCTGGGGTGTCGACCTGGCCTTGCCAATGGACTTGCTGCGCTTGTTTTTCGCTTTGCCTTTGTTTTTGTAGGCTGCAGTATGTCCTGCTTCAGTCTTGTGACGAGCCAAATCATCTGCAGCCGCAAAGATTGCTTCGCACTTTAGACATGAAAATATGTTGTGACTGTTTTTGAGATGATCAGTGAAACCTTGCTCTGTCTTGAACCTTCGGTCGTTGCATACAGGACATGGATATTCCACATGCTGCAGTGCCTGGACGTCAGGTCGACCATCTTCAGACGTTTTGCACTCCATGGTGCTGGATGGATGGGCCTTCAGATGGTATGGTCAAGATTGGTTCTTACAAAGTGAAGAAAGTGAGATCAAAGAAGCAGAAACGAGGTAATTGAAAACTGAGTCCATGTAAATGGGTTTCCAAGGTTGGTTCTTGCAGAATGAAGGAAGGTGAGATGAAAGAAGCAGAAGAGAGATATTTGCAAACTGAAAACACGTAAATGTGTTTGGTACCCCAGGTGCTTGCCTGAGAGTGAATGAAGCAGGCAAGCAGGCACCATGTTTGATATGAAACGTCAAAAAGGCGAGACAAGACATTGTATTCCATTGAAGACAATAGAGGTGCACGGCCCGTCCTTTATTTCTTCCGGTCTATAGGTCTCAATCTGAATCGTGTGATAGATTCTATACATACGTTATGTCTATTGTATAATGGGTCCCTTATCATCTACAGGAGAACTCATGATACCGCGAATAACGCGGTAAAAGTTCGATAACCGCTCCTCACTATCGTATGACATCTTGATTAGAAATAACACAATGATGAGCTCTATATATGATTCCTAGCAAGATATTCGTCTTTAGAAAAGGTAGCTATAGGAGACCGAGGACAATGTATAGAATGCAGGAAGGTACATATGTTATACTCGAGGTACCGTCCGATAGCCGTCAAACAGCCGTCACAATAGAGTAGGGAGCCTTCGTAATAGAATAGCATCGATCACGAACATAACGTCACTATAGGATATACAATAGTATGTGCCTTTTAGCCTAGAGATTGGCAATAGGAGCATTACTCACCAATTGATGGCTGGCTTACCTACAGAATCTCTTGTACTTAGTGGGAAGGGGCGAATATATACACCGAGAAACAATACACATGGACCTATAGACTCTGTATTGGCATATGAATTTATGGGTGTCGTTCCTTTAGTGTTATGGCAGATCAAATATGAGCACTACTAGGGAATTACCTAGTTTTGTCTTTGTATTTGACTGCATGGTGGTTGAGTTTTGTGCACGAGAGGGAGTTGGATAATGTCTGTTCAATAGGAGCCCTATAGACATTGCCGTGCAAAGCAGACTAAGTGGAGAATACGGGACTAAATAGAGAAAGAGATCCTAATAGGGTAGTAGATATTGCGTACACAAAGGGCTAATATAATAGTTTTCTACCTTCCAACGTTGTTCCTCATGTTGGATTTCTTAGTATATTCTCTTTTGGACTTTTTCCTACGTAAAATGCACGTCTATTTACTCTACTGAGATTCTTAAGCAGGCTTGAGTTACTATATTTGAGACAATTATAATTCGACATAGGCAGTTGCGAAACGATCGTATCTCAGACACACCTTGCTTTGCATCTTTGCATCTTGTTGCACATGGCTACGCCGAAGAGGGCAGAACGAGAAACTAATACTTTTAAGGTTCTATCTAGGTAAACAGCGAGCTGCTGGCAAAGACCTGAGGCCTAAGGCATACAATGAGGCGAACGGGCCGCGGCTTATGTATGTATTATATAGCCCTGAACTCAGCCTCCATACCTTTTCTTATTTTTCGTTGACACAGCCATCACTTATATATCAATATGCCAGCAAAAGCAGCTCACTAATTTGATATAGTATTAATATTAATTCGAGAGTTATATAAACGGACATCTAGACCTGGGTTATGGTCCCTACATAGTCGTTTTGAACGTGACAGTCGCACCTTCCTCGTGAAGACGCAGTTTCTCGATTGCTATTTAAGAAGTTCACTCCTCTTCTTCTCTTATCGTCTTCAACGACCTTTATCTTCATTACATACATATACTCCCCCCATCAAAGGTGAGAGCCTCCTTAGCCCATGACCTAGTTATGATGAAAATAAAAGCTAAGAACAACTGATTCCCTATCACAGGAGCTACTAAGGATTCACAAACCTACGATAACAACTTGAAGAATTTTCTGAGAAAAGTGAGATACAACCCTCTGTCTCAGACCCTAACGGTGTTCCTGAAGTAAAGCTGACAACAGAAAAGTGTCGAGTGCCCAACCCATCATGTCGACGGGCGATGACGAGCTCGAGCAGCTAGCTCGACTCCAAGAGAGGACAATCGAGCGAGCTACGGCTCGTGTCCGACTATTTGGGCAAGCGAGACATCTGGCGCAGTCTTACGAATTTGCCATGCACTTAGATCTTCGCGTGCTTTCGTCTTTCTTACAAAGAGCACTTATTCGTTGGATTGAAGAGAGACTGGGATCTCTCCGCGGCGTCTTGAAGCGGAAGAAGAAGATCAAGCAACATGAGGACAATGGAAGGGGTAGGAGGTATGACAAGGCAGTGATAGGCAGGGGCTTGCTGGTCTGAATCAAACACGATGTTTTGAATGCAATTCACACCTGCAGAGACCAGCATCGGTCAGCTAAAATGCGGGGTTAAATCCCCCTCCACCATTACCAGCCATGTTCCAAAGAAAAAGTTGACAACGGCAAGCGGCAGATCCTCACCCGATCTAGCTAATGCGAGGCGACGATCTGGACCTGCCCCACCAGCTCCGTGAGCAGAGGATCGATCGAGCTGCTGGACTGCTGAGAGCTTTTGAGGAGACCACCGATACCTATGCTAGTTAGGTAGCTGACCGCTCCTCGTGATCAAGAGAACTGTCCACCTCTCTATCCACCTTTATCTCCCGTATTTTGAACTCGAGGTTCGGATTTCTAAGAGAACGCCGGTGAGGCCTAACCAATACCTTCCTAGTAGCAATAGTGGGCACTTATTGAAAGATAAATGTATGAATGAGATATATGTGTAGAACAATACGCCGTGAGTCATGGACAAATGCTGTTGAAACACTCTAGAGTGATGTCCAAACGAAGACTGGGTGAAAAATGAGTTTCTTTGAAGAACTCCTCATATGTTTGCTTAGCTAATGTCTCCTCAAATCTGCGAACATGCTCTTAGGCCCCTCTGGGGGGCTTCCATACTCAATTCTGATGCCCGAAGCATCTTGAAGAAACAGATGGCTGGTCCGAGGAGATGAGTTCGCTGACGGATGTAGTTCCCGGTCGCCGCTCGTATAACCCTAGCTGTCTGTATTGGAAATACCTTTCAGTCTTTCCAAGTACAGGCTGCAGATCTGCTCGCAGACGTCCCAAATTCGCCTCCGGTTGGCAAGTCCCAAAATGTAATCATCATTCTTGGATGTGTATTGACTCTTCGTGCGAATGTCCAGAAGTAGCTTGGAAGCGTTGTTCTCTGACTCTTGGGATTGAAAGACATCAATATCGTGGACCTCCCAGAGCCATGGTATTTCACTTCTTAACCTGTGGTTCCAAAACCCACGAGGTAAGGTAGTAGTATGCATCGCCAATGAAGCGGCCTTCACAGCAAGAATCGAACCAGCTGGAAGAAGTTCGAAAACCTGATGCCGCAGCTCAATCGGCAGCCTATCGAAGATATCTTCATTTCGGAAATTCTGATCCGGTCCTGCCTTCTGCTCGAGGGATTTCATGACGAGATCAAGATCGGCATCCAGCTGTGGAATTCTGACCGGATTTACCACCAAAGTCTGCTTGACATAAGCCCTTGTTATTCCTTCACGAACTATGGATCACAAGACAACGTACTTCTTGGCCTTTTGTAGTGCACCAAACCTGTTCAGCACTGGGCTCTGGTTCGCCATAACTAATCTGCAACCTGACGTATCGACCGCCATTCAAGTCTTCAAAGACATCAAATAATAGGTCCCTCTTGATCTGCCCATGGCCTTTTTGACGGATACATCTCTCAAGGATATCATGGTAGCAAATTGGATGGAAAGGAAAGACGTGAGGGTCCCCAATTTCGGAAAAATCATGATAACTAGAAGCATTAGGAAGAAGCGGCGAAAGAAGTGGGGGAAAGCATACGCAGTCATAGGGATATCATCTGCATCGTGATAGAAGGGAACGTTGGGATCTTAAAGCGAGGTCAGTCATTTCGTTCAACCACGTTTAAGCGCTAGAACGCAAGAGACAAACTCACCATCTCCTGTAGCGACCTGAATTTCTCCCTACCAAACAGTATTAACCTCCTAATATTTTCAGTAGCGCGTTCACAAGAGCCTTACATAATCACAATGACGACCAACACCCGTGAGGAATGCTCTAAAAACCAATAAGCATATCTCCTTCATAGCGCTATAAGGCAGCGGTGACAGACTTAACATTTCCACGGGCACTGGGATTGATACCCAGAGCACAGACTTTGTCTAGCCATTCCAGATTGCAGTCCCGCAGAATTTCGTAGCGATAATGGTCCTCCTCCGTCCCTTCAGGGTCCATATCCACTTGGCTGGAGAATGTACCACCGCATATCGCACAATATATCGCCCATCCGCCCATGCTGGTATTCCCTAAATTGTTGCCGAGAGTAAGGATGGGGATTATGGAGAATGTCGGAATTAAGTTTAACACGTGCGTGGAAGGCCGAGCGAATCTGTGGGGGTCGGAAGCTCGGAAGTTCCCGCCCCACCCCTGAAAAATGTGACGGATTAGGAAGGAGGTATTGGTCTAGTTTCTAAACAACGCCCACCCACACAGTCAATATTCATTCTGAGACAAGCACCTATTCTCAGTCGATAAATGTGCTCGGCCTCCTGGCCCCCAGTCTTGCTTTTTTAATGACAACAGTTGAGCATTCCAAGGTCGAGGAATGTGAATATATGAGTTTTGTGTGATATATTGTATCATATGTAATCCAATGCTTCGGAACTAAAACATGATCTATTCTTAAGGAAGATTGATTCAAGGGTAGCCAAATACGGATAAAATTTGTTTCCGGCACTGTAGTGATCTAGGTAGTATAAAGAACCAGATAACAGAGCGCACCAAATAAGATATTGTAACCATTTGATATCTAAAATCCCAAGACCGCAAGGAGGGCTCATATAACAGACCGTTCATCCCGATCCCGGGCAGTTTATAAGGTCATAGTTTGGAGCCCTCGAATAAATACCAATAGTTGGTAATTCAACTACCCCATATTGCTCCCAAGGGGGTGAGCTCACCGAGTCGTGGGTCAGGATCTTCTGCCTTGACATGGTTTGCAACCGTGGCAGTCGCACTTGATAATCAATGCGCCCTACGTCCTACTCCTTGACAAATCTTGCCACCATTTCACAAAGTTGTGGTAAGTGACCGATTTGCTCGTGAAGTGTCACGTCGTGATTTTCGATGACAGAGGCAAAGGTTCGCATGTTTTCGTCGCAATCCGGTAGTTTTCAAATAGTTCTCAAAAGCACGCCAAAATTTCTGGATGAGCACGGCGCCACTCTTTGTGTGAACCCCGACGCAAACATGCACTGAAGCCTGATGGCCGGCGGTGCATGATGTCTTCGCTGTCGCGATGGTAGAGTCGATGCCACCTAGTAGGATCAGTGTGACATAATACTCCCGGGAAGTAGTATCCCTGGGTAGACCTAGTGATACACGCAGTGAGTGTACCTTTAGACGATGTGGTTCAAATATTAAGATAAGACGCGCGATTGCTGAAGAGGGTAAGAGACAGGATTGTGGAACCAGACCTTGAATATCGATCGACAAGCGGCTACCAACCTCCAAAATGGAGAGATGAGACTGATAGTTCCCTGAACGCCAGAGTCAGTACTTTGATTAGTTCAACGTTAGTTAAGATAATACGACATACACATAGATACAAATGTAGACAGCACAAGAAGCTAGCAGTATTGATATCTTTTTAGTCCACTTTTACGTGCTTCGTGTCGACTATTGTAAAGAGAGACCTGTCGCACACTATCACCTCCTGTATTTGATTAAGATCGTCGGGGGTCAAAGATACACAGCTTGCTGAATTTAGCTGATTCTCGCCTCTTAAGGGCTCCCACATTGGGTAGATCCCTTTCACCTAAAGGTCAACGTCATCAAAGCATAGCCTTGCAAATATGCACAATTTCCCACCATTCGTGTTATTGTATTCCTTTTCGCAATAGGGGTGGCTTTAATGATGACTTGTCGGCACCAGATATCTCTTATCTGGAGCTACCAAGGGGGCTGCTGAATCAAGCTATTTATTTGGCGAAAGCTTGACACTAAACTGGTTACAAACTTCATATTTCTTCTAGGGGCCTCCCGAAGGCTCCATCACAGCCTTTATCCTATAGATTTTAGAATGATGAAATCCTCTGAGCCGACGGTACTGACCGAAATGCAAATCCAGCCAACTGATATCGACAGGCGAGATGCCACTGAAGATGAAATTAATGAATTACCACATGTCGTTGACTCTATCCCGCTGGTTGTATGGGTTGCGCTCGTAGCCTATGGGGCAGAAAGGTTTATATTCTATGCTGCTACAACCCCGTGGCGTCAGTTCCCCCCTCTTGATTCATTCGAAATCTGACCTGCATGCCATACCTAACGTGGATTATCTATAGAAAACTATGCGCAGTATGACAGCAATAGTACCTCCATCCCAGGTGCTTTAGGTCTCGGCGTTTCAGTCGCTTCAAACATCTCTAGTGCTTTCTATGCCTTTACAGTTTTGATGTCTGTAGCATTCGCTATTTTAGCAGATGCTTTTCTGGGACGCTACAAAACCGCATGCGTTAGCTTCTGGTGAGACTATCTTCTTTCTCGTTCATATCACTCCAATTGACTTATTAGCAGCCTCGACTTCTGTGGTTGATTAGTACTTTTTGTTACCTCTCTTCCCTCAGTTACAGAGTACCCCGTCAAACTTGCTGTATTCGTATTTGCAATGGTCCTTGTGGGACTAGGAAGAGGTGGCGTCAAAGCCACTATGACACCCTTTATAGGTGAATTCAAACCCTACAAGTCCATTTCCATTTTGAGTTATGATCAAGATATCTCAATTGGAAGAAGTCAAATTGATTCCTTCTTTTGATTAGGGGATCAATATCCCAACCTAGCCCCGCAATTACTTATCACGAAATCCGGTGGACGCGTTGTCACCGACCGAACATTGACCATGCAATACATATATAATGTTTTCTACTGGTGAAGACCTTGCAAGATAATGAGCTGCTGCTGCTTTGAAGCTAATATATTATTCTCAGGTTTACCAGTATTGCAACTTTATCTCTCATTGTTTCAACCTATCTGGAAAAGAAGGTTGGATTCTGGGCAGCTTACTTCTTGCCCCTTTGTCCATTCTCAGTTGTGGCCCCTTTGTTACTTCTGTAGTAGACGACTTGAGGTATGTAAAGGTTGCTTGCTCTGATTTTGAAAATTGATGATAATAGTTGAAATAGTGAAGTGTGAAGTTGCCACCACAGGGAAGTGTCATACCACAGACAGCAAAATATTTTCGGCATTTGTTTCACGGTGTCAAGTCCACAGTATTTGTATTCTTTGGGGCCGTTATAGAAAATTACGATGGCTCTTGTATCAAGAGAGAAGTGGATTGCGGATAGAGGGAGAGAACTGCTAAGAACTTTTTCGGAGGGCTTGGGCGGGACCACATCCGGTGATCAAACAAGAATAATTTCTTTACGGATTCGATGAAAGAATATGGAAAATCGACACGCTTAAATAGCTAGGCAAATCTATATACCGACAGACTCATTCAAGCAACTCGTGGGGAGATGCTCAATTTTCAACATCTAACTTGAAGCCCCCTGGGACCAGCCTCTGAAACACCGCCGACGGGTCATAAGCCTCCCGCACGCGCTTCAGCCGCGCAACATTGCACGGCCCATAATGCTTGATAACATCTTGGTCCCAGCTCGCGTCGTTCACGAAGACATAGTCCACATAATTTCCGCTCTTGACTGAAGCCCGCTCAATGCGATCGTTCAGTGCACCTCCAGCCGCATGCGCTGCGTTATCATCTGACTGGAAGTGCCAGCCTACGTCGAGCACAAGCCACGTTTGATTGCGAGGCGTGAGCCCAAGGGTGTTGGAGCTGTTGGAGCCGCGGGCTTGACCAGCTTCAATGAGGCTGGTAGAGATGGGTTGTAGACCGAGTACGAGCGTGCCTGTATTAAGCGAAGAGATGGTCGAGACCTCAGAGGCGTTGGTCATCATGGTGGATAGTTTGTCAGAGAACGCGCTGTTCGGCATGAAGCTAGTGGCATGCCAATCCCATCTTTCGTAATTTGAGTTAGCTAGAGCATGGAGATTGAACGTAGTAGACCGGAACGGGTAGAATAAACACCTCAGCCCAGGACCACATGGTGACCACGCTCTTGTTCGCACTGTAATGAATCTGCGAGAAAGAGGACATGTCGATCAACACGCCAGTGTCGATATTGGCGCCGAGTGGCGAGGGAAGATGGCCACCGGAGCGAATGGCAAACGGTACGTTGCTCTCCACCAGCAGACTAACAGCCCGTTGGAGATGGATCTCATTGATGGGTTGGATAATACAAGCGGGGTGGGCCCAGGCAGTCTCGGACCAGTTTTCAGAGCTGAGATTGGCATACTGGGCTGTGACGGGAAGACAGTGGTGCTCTGCTGCAGCATATAGAGCTGTCGGCATACTGCTGCTCTTGGGCTTTTGTCAAAGTAGGCTGCTAGAGATTGGACTACGAGGAGACCGAGAATGCCCCAGGTCCTGATAGTAAGCCCCTTCAATGACTGCTGCCTTGGCAAGGTCGTGCAGTTGGTATGGAAGTAAAATGTCTTGTCCTCGTTGATGCTCATGCTACATTGCTGTGCTTTTTAAATCGACTGAGGGACGTCTGACACCAGAGTTGGCCTGAATTGACCGGCATTTCGCAAGATCTGCTAATATTAATAGCCGCAATCATTACGTGCGTGGTGGAGTTTTCTGTGGAGTTGAAAATAAAATAAAATAAATAAAAACAGATCATCATTGGGGGCGGACACTAAGAGCATTGAATGTGGAAGAAATCTGCCCGGTAAAATACACGGGTGAGACAATAAGCAGACAGGTCTACATTACAAAACGCCTAGTTATAGTTAATGACCTTAATGACATTAATGATCCGCAGATAAGCCAAGCCCCACTTTATCGCCCCCAGATTTCTACCTTTGTCTTGGACCGTACAGGCTGCCCAAATTGGTTGTATTCTGTCAGAGAAGAAAATCATTACATTACTAGCTTGCTCTAGTTTGCAGGACCCATTTGCTTACTCCGTTTGCTACATTATAGATGACCACTTGCCAAGCCATACACCTCTTGGTAAGCACACATTGGGTCAAATATTCGCTGCATCAGCAAGTTCTAGGAATTACACTCATTCTATGATATCAGGCCGACCATTGGTCTATTGTAGAACTAGCGCGTACCATATCTGTCGGAATCGACATATTCTTTGAGTCCTGCGTTAGCTTATGGATCTGCGGTCTGGCCCCTAAATTCTGTCAGTGCTCCGGAATCAGTATGCCGTTTGCCTGTTCACTTTCTTTGATTATCTGCGTTCCAAATCCGTCCTGTTGCTGTCTTATTGCTGTCTCTGATCTCCGATAGTTCTGTTCGTAGGGGCCTGGGGCTTATCCCCACCTTCTCTCGCTCAGATAGTCTTTCTGTCTCCATCCATCCAACTCGCCCTTGGACTCTCCTTTCCCTTCCTCCGTCGTGCTTCGTACAAGTGCCACGGCCCGCTGCTTCCTCAATTCACTTTTCTCCTTTTGAACCCCATCCAGCAACCCAGACGGAGCATGGCACATTCCACCATTCTCCTGACTGGAGCGAACGGTTCTCTTGCTATTCCGGCCATCAAATATCTTCTCGCCAATTATCCCAACCATCAGGCTGTCCTGACCGTCCGCAATCCTGCTGGGTCCGATCCAAATACCGAACAGTTGCGCAATACCATTGCTCCTTACGAGGACCGAGTATCGGTACGCGCACTTGACCTTTCCGATCTCTCCTCTGTCCGTGCCTTCGCAACCAGCCTCGCTGCCGACATTGCTAGCGGCGCAGTCCCGCCTCTTGCTAGTATTATCTGCAACGCCTACTACTGGAACCTCGCAACGGCACCGGGTCTTACACACGACGGCTTCGAAAAGACCTTCCAGATCAACCACCTCGCACATGCTATCCTTGTCCAACGACTTTTAGAGTCCTTCGGGCCCACAGACGGCTCGAGCTCTCTTTGTGGTCGTATTGTGCTCTTCGGTAGTGATGCTATCTTCCCTGGCAAAAATGGCCTCGAGAAGTACCCCCCTCGTCTACCGGAGAAAATGGAGAGTATGGCGAAGCCAAGTCTGGAACTGGAGAATGAGGACCATATGGGCCATGGCTTCCAGCGGTATGCAGTATCAAAGCTGGCTGTCGTGACTTGGATGTATGCGTTGAACAAACATTTACAAAAGATATGATATTGCTTCTTCTTCTTCCCTCTACTCTTCACCACTAACATATCTCCGTAGCCTGAAAACACTCACTTGAAAGGTATTACCGCCGTCGCTATCAACCCAGGCAATCTCAGCGATTCACGCGCGCTCCGTGTCAATACCCCGACGATGTTACGCATGGTATCACGCTTCATTATCGGGCCCTTGCGGCCAATCCTAAGATTGTTAGATCCGACCATGCGGACAGCGACGGCTGCCGGGAAAGATGTTATCGAGCTGGCGGTGGGTCAGCGCTTCGAAGGCACCAGCGGTTATTTCACTCTGCTGGAGAAGGACAAGGGGCCGGCGGATAGTTTGGACGAGGGAAAACAGATCACGTTGTGGGAAAAGACTGTCGAATGGAGCTAGAAGGAAATCAAGAGACTTTCGCAGAGAAAATGTGGATGTTGTCTGTCTGTCCCCCTGTGCTCCCTACCGTCACTTTTGATTTCCTTTATCTTTTTATTTTACCAATTCAGCATCACTTAGGAATATCAATATTGTCTCAAGAAGTTCCAGTATCACGCTAGCTCGATCACAACAATCCACTACACAAAGCTCTTGATCCATACACAAAAAGTCTGCTACGAATGTGCGCGATCAGAAAACCTTCGCTGAAGAAGCGATGTGGACATCTTCTCACACGCCAAAGGCCAATCTGACGTCCAACTCCGATAGAACGGTTGATATCCCAATGCTCCACTAATCCAGCGTCCGACCACGATTCCCAGCGTGATTGCCAGTGTGCGGCTAAATGACACCCACCGGGGAAGGGAGAGGTAGGAGCCACCGGCATCGAATATCTACCAGACCAACGTTAGACACGTAATGTGGTAGACTAGATACACACAAGAAAAAGTAGAAGAATAGTACATACCGACATAACCTGGACCAGATGAACGGGTTTCCCCTTCGCGGCCGCCTCTTCCTGGTACGCGTACCAATTTTCAAAGAAAAGCAGATCCAGCTTGAACGCTTCGGCCACCTCTTGGCCTGCGAGCAAGAAGCGAGTGGGCGTCTCCGCGTCGGGGTGCTTTTGCTAGACTTAGAGAAGTCAACACCCGCTAGAGAAAGGGCCCGTAAAGTTTTGACACTCCTAGATTGACTAGTGATTTAGCTAGAAGAGTATCATCATTAGAAGCGCTTATCCCGAGGCTGATAAACACTTTTGCTGTAGACGGATATCCCCGTATCACTGATTCCTATAGTGCGGCGCCTTAGACTTTCTCGTAGAAATCTCCACGGGAAAGAAGAAGCTTCACTATTCTAGCTTTCCTGGATACTACGGCTAGGTGTAAGGCCCTAACGGAAATTTCAAACTTGGAGTCGATAAGCAACTGGACAACTGCCGTGCGGCCGTTGTCAGCTGCAATCTCTAAGGCGGAAGCCCAAGCTGGCGGTATTTCTCCAGGTTTCTTAAGACATTCAAGAGCAATGCTATAGTTGAGACATGCCCGTTCTTGGAAGCCCAGTCAAGTGCAGTTGTGCCACGGTAGTTCGCTCCCAAAAATGGATCAACGCCAGCATCAAGGAGGATCTGTGCGACACGGTCTGCTCTATGGTACGCAGCATTGTGTAAGGGAGTCAATCCCAGCTTATCCTTTGCGTTAACCGTTGCTCCGGTAGATATAAGAAACTCTACGAGCAACTGGTGTCCGCGACGAGAAGCTGTAGCTAATGGAGTGACCCCACGGCGATTCTCCAGATGGATATCAACACCCTGGAATAGAGGTTTTCAATCAATCGGTGGTCACCTCGTTGTGCAGCCAAATGAATAATCGTGTTCCCGCTCCGTGTTCCTTGTCTCCTGAAATATTTCCTCGGGGGAATTCTCTCAAGGTCATGGACTCCTTGAAGAAGTGCATAACATGTTTCCGGCTCGAGATATCCCGCGATATTATAGGGTACTCTACATATATTCTACAGTATATTTAATTATGGAAGCATCGAGATGCCGAGGCCGTAGATTTGTAGCCAATGTCACTGCTACCTGTCACCTCTAGGTTCAACGGCAGCAACAAGCTGCAAGCCTTAAAGCTATTCACGTTATCTAAATAGGTAATTCTCCAGGCTTGACGGAGGTGTGAATTGGCGCTTCGTTGGACCGTCGGTCCTGAATATTTGACTGGGTCGTGCTCTCTTCGTCGAGTTGTACAGAACCGAGCATATTGACTGATTGTGATGTCGGATCAATAGCGAGCTCCCAGGGCCCATAACCCGTTAGAATCTACGTAGTAGATCAGACTATTAAAGAAGTACAACATGTTGTATTGTAGAGAGATAGTTGCTTGAAGAAACTAAGTAGGAAGGGGAAGAAAGGGTAGAGCTATCTACATGAGGTCATGTGACACGTGTGATACTTGAACACGTGGGACAACGCACCGGAAATGGCTGGAAGTATGAATTTCTCTAAGAACGCTCCAAAGTGTGAGAAGAGTTTTGCGAAGGGGCTAAAGGGACAAAGAGTAGTAACTATTGACAGAAAACGAGCAAAGCGAAGTGAAAAACGATGTATCCTACCAATCTTCACGGCTATTCAATCCATTAGTCCGTCAGCACCCACTGAAATAAGTTATCCTCCTGAAGACGTTCCATAGCTGCTCTCTCCAAAACAAATCTCAACTCAAATGGCTGTGAGTTGATGTCACCTCCCAAATCTCTGGCCGGCAGAACCCAACAAACACCTTTCACCTTATTTTCTGGGATATCATATCGTTGGACTTTCCCCAGGGCGCCAAAATCGAGGTAAAAGTCCATCCATCGCAGACTGGAAACGATAATGCTGCTCCCATAGGCAGGGAAGAACGAAGAAAAGCTATTGGAATCGGAGATCGTTCGCAGAATTCCTTGAAGATATCCTTCAGTGAGATCACTAATTTCTTTTCGAAGAGATATCGCAATGCTGCAGGGATGACCAAGCTGTTTTTGGTCCAAGGACGCTGGAAACGATTGGAGAACCATCTCTTCTGGAAGCAAAAACGTATCATAGTCCGATTCAACCGCAACAAGAGCATTGCCCATGTAGTTTGCAGGGAGTTGGCATTGCTTGCGCACGTTTGCAGGGATGATGACCTTGGGCGATTGGACGCTTTCGGGAACAACCTCAAGGCGGGCTTTGTTTCCACAAAGCCCCACAAGGGCCGTGATTATATCGTTTGATGTGACAAGGTTAGGTTTTTTGGAGTCCCCATGGGCCAGAGATTTGATGATTCCGTTGCATGCGTCTTTCAGAAAAGTGACTTTCTGGGGGTTGAGACTGAAATGTCGGCTAATAGGAATTCTACTAGGATCTGCTGCTGGTGTCGTGTCGAAGGAGAGCGGAACCAGCGTCCAATTGAATGGGAGGGGTTGGCTTGCTTTGAATTTGGTAAGATGCTGCCGACTGGATTCCTCTGCCTCGCTGTTGGTAAGGACATTGGTAGAAGTGGCATCTTGGTTTTTGCAAAGCTCCGACAGAGTTTTGAGGACAACAGAGACACCCGTACTGTCCAGGGCTCGATGGAAATATGCGACCGAGAGTATTATCATTGTCCTCGTCACATTAGCCTTGAAGCGAACCAAAGGCATAGGTTCCGTGGGGGGGATGAGAAACGGGATCGGGAGATATTGTTGCTGGATAAAGTCGTCTCGCGATACTTCATCCATACCAGGGCTGTGGGCCACTTGAAGCATGGGGTATCTCTCCAAAAAGTTTGAACTCGCTGGCTGTACTTCAAGTACGCCTTCCTTGCCAGCAGACTGACTTGATGGGACAGCTAGTCCTGTTAAAAATGGGAATTTTTCACACAATCGTGTGACCCCAGTCCTTAGGGCATCGATGCCTTCAATCGAGGCGTTGTTAAATGACAAAAACATGAAAATGTGACAAGGCGGGAGGATATGGTCTAGAAAGCTGAGATTGTAGGGCGAAAAAGGATATGGTGAGTGAGTGAGGGATGTGCTGGCACTGAGCGAGCTCTTGTCATCTGGAGTCATCGCGCATGATTCCGTTGTTGTCTGCACTGTCACTTCACCAATGATATCTGACACAACACATGGTCGAAGTAACTTTATTTCCCTCTGTCAGCATCAATCGCTCATGCCCTAGTTGTGCACTTACAGTCGAGGTATCGCCCAAATTGCCTTTTTCACCGTCCAATATTTTCCTCAGGATACGTCTCATAATCTTTCCCGACCTTGTCTTTGGGAGGTCACTCACGAGAAGTACCTGCTTCGGAACTGCGAAGCGACCGATAGACTTCTCAACATGCTGTCGAGCGGATGACTTGAGATTCACCTGGTCTGTGACGACATTATTCTTGAGACATAGGAACACAACCAAGGCTTGACCTGTCATTTCGTCTGGAATACCAACAACTGCAACTTCGGCAAAAGAACCTAGAGAGTATCGGTAAGTGTTAAAGCCTACGGGGCAGTAGGGGTATAAGTACCGTGGTCTAAAAGGGTTGATTCAATTTCAGCTGTCGATAGTCGATGACCCGAAATGTTGACAACGTCGTCAACTCTTCCCATAATCTGATAATAGCCGTCTCGGTCTCGGCATGCGCCGTCGCCGGTCGTCTGCGGTCTTTGTTAGACTCCGTTGCCAATGAACTGCAGATGTCTTTACTCACAAATTTCCCTTGATAGGACTCGAAATAAGTATTCATGTACCTAGCGTGGTCTCGCCACACAGTGCGGGCTATGCTCGGCCAAGGCTGTTTGAACACCAGCAGACCATTAATGTTGTCTCCTACAATTTCATTTCCCGAGTCAGCATCAATCAGGGCTGGTCTGAAGCCGAAAAACGGCAAAGACACAGTGCCAGCCTTGGTTGGCGTAATTCCAGCCAATGGTGAGAAAGCATGGCACCCCGTTTCAGTTTGGAAGTAAGTCTGTTGCTGGGGGTCAGCGTAGAACTGTCAACACTCTAAAACTTGGCTTACGTCAAGGACATGCACCTCTCTGTTCCCTAGAACTTCGTAGCACCACTGCCAAACACTAGGGGCCAAAGGTTCTCCAATTGAGGCAACGACCCTTAATCTTCCAAGGTGTGTAGTGCTTCCATCGGGTCTGGACTTTTTGATCATCCTCAGAGATGTAGGCGCTGTATAAAAGTGCGTTGCTTTGCATCTCTCGAGGACTTGCCAGAATCGGTCATAGTCAGGGAACGAGGGTCCCTTCGAACACCACGGTTGTAATCCCTAGCACTAATGGCGTATAAACAAGATAGCTATGACCGGTTATCCAGCCTACATCTCCAGCACAAAACATTGTATCTGAAAGATGAAGATCCAGGACATATTTTCCCGACACAGCACAACCGAGCAAGTACCCTGCAGTTGTGTGCATAAGACCTTTAGGTTTTCCAGTAGATCCAGATGTGTAAAGCATAAACAATGGATCCTCAGATCTCATAGACACTGGCTCATAGTAGCCAGGCCACTTGCCACATTCTTCGTGCCACCAGATGTCTTTACTTCTTTGACACCAAGGAACTGGACTTCCGGTCTTCCTCAGTACAAGACATTGTACCTTGTCCCCTTCATAGTCAGCAAGCGCATCTTCAACAACCCGTTTCATGGGAATAATTTTCCCTCCCCTAACGCCTTCGTCCACCGTGAGAATCACCCTCGAGCAGGCATCGTTTAGTCGGCCTCTAAGTGATGGAGCCGAAAACCCAGCAAAAACAACCGAATGAACAGCTCCAATTCGAGCACATGATAGCATAGCAATGACCGCTTCGGGAATGTTTGGCATATAGATGGACACAATATCCCCCTTCTGCACTCCCATGTCCTTCAAGACCCATGACAGTCTGGAGACATCTATCAATAGTTGTCCGTATGTAATCTGCTGCGGTTGACTGTCAGGCATGTCTCGCTCGTATAGAATAGCCAGACGATCAGGGTCTGTGAATGCGTGTCGATCAACGCAGTTGTAGCAAGCATTGAGCTTTCCTCCAATAAACCATCCATGGTCACCGGTCTCAAATGTTCCATGGTGGACTTGGTCGAAGAAAATCTCCCATTTAAGAGATGCTGTGGCCATTTCTGACCAAAATTCACGAGGATGCTCGATGGACTTTTGGTAGAGAAGGCTGTATTCATCGTGGTCTTTCAAATGTGGGACAGAGGGGTGCTTTCTGTCAGGGGGTTAGATATATTTCCTGCGACCCGCTGTCTTGCTTGTCTTACAATTGGTAGGAAGTGGGAACAGGAATTCGACCAACATCATTGTCCTGTCTCACGTCGTTGAAAGCGGTCATTGTGGCTCGAGGTCAAATCAAAGTATAGATAGCAAGTTGAACTTGTCTCTCTTCTATCAAATTACCACAAGGTACACTCAGACTAAATATATATATACCGCGAAGCTTATGCTCAGCCGGGTACCACAAAAGGTGGTAAGACATGTAGCTTATTCTGGATCAGGAAGGCATATAGCTTATTCTAGATCAGGTGCTGTGTTTGGTGGCAAAACATGTACCTAATGCTCGATCGGGAAGACATGAAGCTTATTCTCAGGCGGGTGCCCCATTGGTGGTAAAATATGTAGCTTATGCTCGATCGGTACCCCGTAAACAGGTCATGTCTTTTATTGGCAAGACGCAGGACGCGTGGCTTGCATTGTTCTGGTTAGGAGCGGAATTTAGTATTATTTTCTTTAGGAAACGTGATATCATGGAACTATGGCAGATGGACCCCACGCATTTGAGTCTGAAAAAAAAGAATAAGGGGATTATTATAGAATAGGCCCGAAAGCGGAGCTCGCAATTAGATTGTCACTATGATGGTCTAAAACACAACATTAAAAGCGATAAATCACCACTTCATACGTTAACAGCCATAACCCGGCTATGTTTCCCCCTAGCTTGCGGTGGCATTCGATAGAAGCAATCATTGACACACCGTTCACTGATGACCATGCCAGCCAGGTACACGCGTAATGCCGGGATCAAATTATGCAACCGTGGAAGGTGATTTTCGCCCCGCAAAAGCTGTATTCATTGAGTGGAGAGATAATAGGAATGATGAATTGCTGGGGGGAGGTAAGGATATTTTGATGGGTCCACAATTCTAGGATTGTCATAATAGAACAGCCAGTGCGTTCAAGGTACAGTGAAGTGAACGGGCGCAGAAAGTTGCGTTTCATTGATGGAGAGAGGCAACCCAAAATCAGGCTATTGAATAGCCAACATCCATGCGGGGGAGAAGTACAAGCCAAATCTGTTTGAAAAAACGGGGATTTACAGCTAGAGAAGCGAGTGTCAAGTCGATTAGATGATGACTAGAAAGACATGAGTGCGAAATCAGACCTTAACCCTTTGGCTAATCTACGAGTCCTCGTCATAAGGCGGCAAAAACTGCTCGTCTGCAAACAACTCTACCAGGTGGTACCGACGATGCGCCGTGCACAACATAATCCAACCCCGGACAAAGTTCTCAGTCGACAGAAGCAAATTTGGCCTATCCCTAAACATCGTATAAACCGAGTTGATTACCTATAATCCAGATTTCAGAATGATTATGGCCGATGAATCTGGACTCGAAAACTTACCAGAGGTGTATAGCTAGATAGCTGTCGCAATACATCCAGCTGCTGCATGTGATGGGTGCTGGCGAAATTGGCAACGAAGTTCCCTTTTTCATTGTCGAGGACAAATTCCTTGTAATACGATAGGATGTCATTTGTGAAGTCCGTGAACAGCACTAGTTCTTGGATGGCCGGGAAATATTGCATGACATATTCCTCTTCGGGGAAGAGGGACTTTGGCCATAGGAGGTGGATAAGGATCTCAGCCCCTCCAACTTTAGTTCTCAGGAACATAGGCATGAGTCGAGACTCGGAAGGAAACTCAAAGTTGGACTGCTCCATTTGGTGCTCAATAATATTGCCATTGATATAGTCGAACAATGATTTGATGATCGCAGAGTGGCAGTAGGGCCCATAATAATCGGCCAGAGAGCGAAGGTGACTGTCGAATGCATTCAGGAGGGGATGGTGGTGTGTTTTGTTGAGGACGAAGCTGGAAGCGTCAGTATGTGCCTGGATGGGTATGATAAGGAGGGACGCTAACTTTTGGCTAAATGATTGAAGATATTCCATGAACTCTTCTGCAGCATCATCCGCCAAGAACATATAGAGGAACTGGGAGGCACAGAGGACCTTGACCTTAAATGGAAGTGCAGTGTAGGCTTGGTGTGTCAGAGTCACTGCCAGTTTGAGGGTTCGTAGAACCAATTTCTCGGTCTTTTCTCCCAGTCTTAGGCTCTTAAAGTAAGCCCATACTGAAGTTTCAAGTTCCTTGTCCTTGATGAAAGGACTGTCGGGGTTGGATTTGACATTTTCAAGGAAAGCCTTAATCAAAGATTTAACTTGATCAGTTTCAGCCAAATGCGAAGACGTGTCGGTCTGGAGCCCGTGGTAGACAAATGTGCTTTCGCTGTAAGCAGATGTCATTTTCAATGGAAATATGACAATATCGGGATAGGAAGTAAAATTTGCATCTGTCGACTATTCCTGAGACAAAACCCGAGAGATATAGAGCTTATTGCTTACTCCTATGTCCCCACTACGTCACGAAACACCAATCGACGCGATTCTTCATTTACAGCTTGTCTGTGGTGCACAGAAGGAGTCTACGCAATATAGGTTCACCTACAGCCTCCAAACTAGGCATTTTTGTACTGCTCGCGTGCAGGCACCTTTTGGTGCTGCAGTAATTCGTGCATATATGTACAGGCGCGGGCATGGCGTAGAAAAGAATATATATTTCCTTTTTAAGTTCTTGAGCATGTTTTCCAGTGGGGTAGGTCTGGAGATGTATTAACCCATGCAAGATGTGCGTGTGTTCACATGCCACACTGCCTCAGACACTTCGATAGGGGCTGCAAAACTCACTTTGCCGTTCACGAGATGGTTCCCAGAAGAGCTGGCTTAATGCCTGGTGTTGCCTTCGTGTCCCCGCATATCGTAAAATTACATCCATGCAACCGGACAGGCGAACCCCGTGGAAGTCATAAATATATACCTATGTCCGTACTCTACGATTTCTTATAACGAAAATATTTTCGGTTATTCCAACAGGATAATTGAGCCGACTATCGGTCAGGGAGTCCAGGGGTATTTTCGGGAAGATTTTTCTGTGCATCGACCGATTTCCTTAAATATGTACTTAGCTTCATCTCTCGCGTCGGGCAGAATTAAATCCCGTTTACGTATACGTTGTGCTTTAACATTTGTCTCTCACGGCATTGAATTGAGAAGGCAAAAGTTCATTATCGAGGCCCACGGCCTCATCTTCTCAAGAAGGAAACGGATTGGCAAAATCCAAGCTACCAAATAGTTCCATTGAATGAGTGCCTCCGCCATCAATCGATCGTACTGTAGTATGAGGTTGATCACAAGCCCAGGCCGAAAATGAATAAAGTTCATCTAGACGACCAAGTATTTCGTCATGCGATAGAAACATTGCGCAACTGCCTAGTTTTAAAGAACCCAGCCGCTGTAGGTGGAAAAGGCAAGTGTTTGACCATGACACATCATGGGCCCATCTGATAAGATCCATTCCCAAGTCTTCTTCGATTCGCTCAAGGAGTCCATCGAGCAATACTACCAAAGGGAAACAGATTGACGAGCATTTGCATGACGATAACAGGATGCTTTGCGGTGAGGAATTCGCTGCGATTTGAAGCTTTGAGGACGCATGAGCCGATAGTTCCGAGCTGGTAGGTGTTTCTCCAGCTGATTGAGGTGATTGAGTGCGTCCAATTGGAGGTGTGCTCGATTCTAGAAACGTTATGTTAAAATCAACCAGAAGAATCTCGCTTAGCACATACCGTCAGATACATAGGTGGTGGATTGGTTCGAAATCGATAGGTTTTTGAGAACACGTTCCACATCACTAGCCATCAGATCAGGCCTCTGACGCGAGCGAGTAGGCCTGTTATGAATACTTTCTTCGAGAAGGGCAATGGCATCGTCTCTGCTTTTATACTTGCTGAGAGAAGATAGCAAGAACGAAAGATGTTTACTCCAGTGCGGAGGAGCAAGATGTTCGGGGATTGCCTGATCTATTGAGGTTTGCCAATGCTTTGCGATGGTGCCCATACTCGCAACTTTGATCCTTTCTGATTTTTTAAACCTCTTAATGATAGGTTTGACAGTATCTCGGTAGCTGATCAACTGTCGATATTGTTCTAGTGATTCAAATTTGTACAACCAGAGATGTTGCTCACAAAGGTACTCCCAAGCTGCGAAAATCAGCTCACCCAGATTCTCATCCGCTGTGATGCCACTCATCAATATCCGGGTTACAGTATCCAATTGTTCTGGTTCTGAAAGATTTTCGAGTCTCTTCTCTAAGGCCGCTCGCAAATCTTTCGGTGGATCTGGCCCAAGCGCTTCCCGCAGGTATTCCATCTCAGGTATGTAGCAAAATGGACGATAGCAAGAATTAAAATTTCCCAGAACCGAGTGCGATACGCTCGGAAGTTCTCAAGGATAAGGCTTTTATGATATCCTGCCATGCCCATTAAATACTACTACAAACTCGTGTCGAACGTGTGTAACACTCCATTCCAGCTTCGGCGATAAGATCTTCATATAGAGTTTTCCACATTCCTAGGGAGTCTACCCGGCAGAAGCGACCACCCAATCAACAAGTAATATCCCGAAAACCCCAGTGGATAACGAGGCAACCTAGGTAAGACAGGAAACATTTCCATTTTCCAACGATCGACTTATCTCCCAATCTTTGTTGGATACAAATGCCCCACTAAGGTCTTCCGCAGACACTCGCCAGCGTCATTCAACCCTCCACTCTCGAAAAAAAGAAAGCACTGACAGCCGGGACTATTTCGTCCCCGGATCTCTCCAGCCCAGTGCCAATCAAGCCTAACACACTAGGTTACTGCTAAAGGGAGATTTTTCAGAGACGCTTGTCAGCTTGTTGTCTGGTTCCAACCCATTGATTCAGTCCAGTTTTTATAGTCAAGTACAAGGCTACAACAACGCTTAGAGCTCAACGGGATCTCTCTGGGATTTGGTCATAACTCTAGCTCCTTGTTGCCTTTATCGTTATCGTCGGTCTCTCCGGTCCCTCTCCACCTAGTCGGTGAAAACTCGAAATCACAGGTCGGTCATGTGGGCTAATAGCGAAATGCCGTATACGCCCTGAACCTTGGTCGATGCTATATCTTGTGGTCAATGCGAGACTATAACTGCGGGAATTTTTGCTAGCGAACCATAGCTTGTTGTGGGCTGTGAAACTGGCATAGCTAGCGTCCTCGACTACGATGGGTTGGATTATAGGATCTGGTTGAGATTGTCTACTCTTGATAGAATAAGGATTCTATCTTCCGGGCCTCCGTCGTCGTCTATAAAAGAGACTACAATTCTACCAATATGGCAAAACTGGAATTCGAATCACCTTTAAATTCTCCTCTTCGCCTGTTCCCTATACTCTGCTAGTTTCTTTATTTTATAAGTGCCCGCAGCCACCATATCCTAAAGAGTCTTTAGCCGTCTCTTCACAATATATCAAGCGTGAGTTTTCCCTTATATTTTTTTCGGCCACGGAGTTGCGTATAATGCCTCACCCGACTAGACGCTGATCCTCACGCTAAGCAGCCCTTTAGAGACGATCCCTTCGCTATAGCCCTCTTCTAGCGAGGCGTAGTAAAACAGACTATGGACTTTTTCGAATATAAAACGCTTTGATCTAATGGGAGAAATGCCGCATACACCGTCGGCCTTACGTGTGACTCCTCAGTGATTTCCGTTGTAGATGGGTTGGTGGATCTTCGTACCGGCGGGCTGCGCTTTGTCTCATGAATCTTGTCAATCTAACCTGCTCAAAACTCTCAGAAGGGGCAGGGGGCGGTAGGCATGTATAAAGGGTCGTTGGAACTCGGACCGAGAAAGAGGCTGACTATCTGTTTATGGTTCCTTCTCTTCTATTCTGATGCATTGCGTCTGAATCTTTCTCGCGGCATGGAACCGATCAATCGGACGACGTCATCCATTATCGTCCGCCTGCAAAAGAAACCACATTTCGAACTGTTCCAGGGACCCGGTTCCCACGCCCGTATCCATTCACAGCCATCTTCGGATAGACCCGCGCCAGCCCATCCGTTTCTACCTAGCCAGCACTGGCGTCCGAGTCTTTCATTTTCGGGCATGCGCCGTACCTCCAAAGTCAATTCCATGAATCTAGTGAAGTCGAGACGTTATTAGCCCCCAACGAGCTTGCGGAAGAAGTGACCGTTGACTGCTCGAATGAGTTTGACATGAATTACTTTGAATGCCTCTTCTGGAAGAGATGCAAACATTGCTGTATCAAATATACACACGGCGAGTCGAGAATTGCCGGATGATGTTTTCGGCAGTGTTCTAGGGCAAGATTTATACGACCAGTGTAGTATAGAAAGAATATCTTTAAAAGAAAAATAAAAGCATCGATTTATTCATTTTTAGTTTTAAATATAGTGCTTAACCCGGACTTATATGCCGAGTAGACAATTACCCGTAAATTCTAAGGCTACTAGACATAATATATGTATTATTGCCTTATTATAGGCTTTAAATAATCCAATAATAATTAGATAAGACACGAATAGGCCCCTCATCCCTCACATGCTATCAATTTTTATCTAGGACACTTGACTGGCCGGGGCATCATATTGTGGATTTCCATCAGGAGTCGAACTACTTCAAGCTTGCCATTTTCTGATGCAGCTTGTAGTGCAATCCACCTAGTGCCAAAGCTTCCACCCTCTGCATCAGATTTGCACCATGGTCTAGAAGAAGACGAACTATCCCCTTGTAGCCTTCAGCTGCTGCGATGCCCAATGGAGCACCATAATCTTCGCTTTGGGCGTTCATACCAACAGCACGACTGAGCAGTAGCGCAACAGTACCCTCATACCCCCTTCTTGATCCTTCATATATTACTGTATGATGTCCTTTGTCTCGTACGTTGATAATAGTACCTATGCCAAGCAGAAACTTGACAATATTTTCATTCCCCGTGCGTGTGGCAACATATAGAGGAGTACCATGATCCTCTTCATTTCGTGCGTTGATAAGGGCACCTCTGTCGATCAGAAAAATTGACGATATGTTCATGTCCTGTTCGTGCTGCAGCATTTAGCGGAGTCATTTGTCTTCCTATACGTGCATCGAAACGGCGCCAGTAGCGCTAGGAACTCTTGATGGCTTTCAAAGCGCTTTGCGCATAGAGTATTATTCGGGCATGGATATGATACTGATGGTTCCTGTCCAGTGGTGTCTTTAGTTCAAGAAAATTAGCAAAATAGACAACTACTTTGTAAGATTTGACGCAAACCTTGTTCATGTGCTTTGATTGTGGGCTTTCATCACGGATATGAGATGTAGTTTCTGACCCAATGACTTTCTTTGCCTTAGGGATAGGGTTCTTGGTGTGTGTGTGTGACAAC